GCCGGAGCTCGGCACAAGAATCCTGTCCACACGCAAGTCCGGGTGGAGCCTGGTGGGTCTAACTTCTTGGGAAACTATTGAGTCAAGGTCAGCAGTTCTCTAAGGGTTGTCCAGAACTTTTGTGAGGGTGGAGATTTTGTGAGGGCCCGAGGGGAGAAATGAATCAGTGCAGAAGGCTGGCTCTCTGACGCTGGGATCTGTCGCTCCCTGCCTTTGCAAGTAGCACAGTCAGAGGAGTGTGAAACGGCTAATGTCTTCCTTGACTCCTTGGAACTTACCACGCCCAGCCTTCGCAAGGTACGGAGCAGGAGAAGATGGATTACGCCCTCAACAACAAGAGGCGAGTGGTCCGCCTGGTTTTGCAGTGGGCCGCCGTGTGCGGGGACCTTCTCCTAGAGGACGACGTGGCTATGGCTTTCCTGGAGGTACACGGGTGGTGGGGTGGGGTGTCTCTTCCCAGAATACACCTCTGTGCTACAATGCACAGGACTACCCATAGGCAGGGCAGCTTCCCTGGAGGACTAGCATCACAAATTCTAGACTTTGTTAACACGTTCCTTTATCAGAAAGGTACTACAAGAAAAGTAAAGAAAAAAATCATCCATTATCCCATCACTCTAATGCAATAACTGGTAGCATTTTTAAAATATTTTTTTTTTATTGATGTTGGAGAGAGAGGAAAGGAGAGGGAGAGAGATAGAAACATCGATGAGAGATCTATTGATGGGCTGCCTCCTGCACACTCCCTAGTGGGAGTTGCGCCCACAACCCGGGGATGTGCCCTGACCAGGAATGGAACCAAGGACCTCCTGGTACATGGGATGATATTCAAGTAATTGAGTCATACTAGCCAGGGCAGTAATGGTAGCATGTTAATTATTTTTAATAGTCTCTTTTTCTTTGTATATTTTGCATGGTTGAAAGCACAGAGTGCCCATCATTTTGCATGCTGCTTTTTTCGCTTAACTTCATGTACGGATTTTCCCACATCAGTGCAGTCTTTCTAATGGCCTTTGAGTAGCTCTGCCTCAGATATATTTATTTGTTCCCATATTGTTGAATATTTCCATTTTCACCTTCCTAGAATAATAGTGTAGTGAACATTTTTGTGCATGTAGGTCTGTTCTTGGTTATATTCCTAGACACAGGATTACTAGATCAAATGGAAGATTTTCGAGTGGATGGAAGCAGTTAATTTTATTGAGGAACTAGAGGCCAAATACACAAAATTCGTGCAGTTGGGGTGGGAGGCTCTCAGTCTGGCCTGTGCCCCCTCACAGTCAGAGATCCCTGGGGGAATGTCCAATTGTTGTGGAGGCAGGAGTGGCTCCCACCACCACCGCTGCACTCACTAGCCTTGAGCCCAGCTCAGGGCTTCTGGCTGAGCGGCGCTCCCCCTATGGGGGCGCACTGACCACCAGGGGGCAGCTCCTGCATTGAGTGTCTTCCCCCTGGTGGTCATGAATGTCATAGCAACTGGTCAGTAGATTTGCATATTAGCCTTTTATTATATAGGGTTACTGGGACCCTGAGGTGGCTTGGAAGAGAGATGATTTATCTTGTAAACACTGCTTGAAGCTGAACTTCCCTTTTCTTTCCCAGGGCTCCTGGCCCACATTCAGCATTGACCCTGGCTGGCATTTACTCCTCCATGACTCACTCTGTCCTCAAAGCCTAGATAAGGGCTTTGCTTCTGTGCAGGCAAAACACAATGTGGCTTCTATTTCAAACTTTATCAGTCTGTCTGTTCAAGAATGAATTACCCAAAAGAAACATACCCCTTATCTTCCTTTTTATCATATCGTTTGTCAGGCCCAGACAGGTGAGGCAGGAGGAGGGGTGGACCTCAGAGTCCTTTAAAGCTGGGAAATGGAGTGTTTTGAAAATGTAAAAGGATAATAGCAGCTTGGCATCAGGACTTGACTTGTGGCCTCTACCCAAGGAGTGAAGGCCCACGTGGCGGTTAAGCTGGCCCATCCCCAGCTCCCATCTTTGGCTGAGAAGCCACTGCTCCTGAGCAGAGCAGGGTACGGCTGCTTCTGTCGCTGCTGCTCTGGGGTCAGGACCGTTCCCAGCACCTCAGCAAGGAGACCTGAGGTGGTGGCACAGACTAACGTACAGTTAGCACAGTGCTGAGAGCCCTGCCCGCAACTGGACCACCGACAATAAACTACAACTAGTGGTGAATATTAAATAAACCAACAAATACTAAAATAACATCAGAATCAATATTAAAATTCCCCTGAAAAAAATAACGAGAAGAGAAACTATAAAATTATCATTTCAAAGCATTGCATTACATTGCCTTTCATATAAACTATACATTTGCAATTAATTCTTTGTGGTAAAATATACCCAACATAGCCGAAACCGGTTTGTCTCAGTGGATAGAGCGTCGGCTTGGGGACTGAAGGGTCCTGGGTTCGATTCCGGTTAAGGGCATGTACCTTGGTTGCAGGCACATCCCCAGTAGGGGGTGTGCAAGAGGCAGCTCATCGATGATTCTCTGTCATCGATGTTTCTAACTCTCTATGCCTCTCTCTTCCTCTCTGTAAAAAATCAATAAAAATATATTTATATATATATATATATCTCCAACATAAAATTTGCCATTGTAACCCTCTTTAAGTGTACAATTCAGTGGCATTAATGACATGCAAGGTGTTCTACAACTGCCACCTCATCTCCAAATTCTTTTCTCACTTGCAGTTTTGACTTCTGGCTTATTTTAACACTTCCCTTTTTGTCTTGGGTCCATGAGACCCTGGTCTGGAGAGGCTAGTGAAGCAGGTGACACAGGGACACCTCTTCATTGCTCTTGACAGAACTGCGTGCCTTATCGATGCCTGTTAAAAGCCTGTGACCTTTGCCAATTACAGGAGTTTTATGTGTCTGTGTCAGATGATGCCCGGATGATCGCCGCCCTCAAGGAGCAGCTGCCCGAGCTGGAGAGGATTGTCAAGCAAATGTAAGGAAGGGGGCTTGGCTTTGGGGTGTGCTTCCATCACGGAAGTGCCTGCTCACAATCAACACGTCTGCCACAGAGTCCTTTGCCCCCTGAGAGGGGAAGGCTGGCTTTTCACGGCCATGCAGTGCCCTGATTCCAGCAGAATGGGCCTTGGGTGTGGATGCTGCAATGAGGCCAGAGAGACCAAGGCACTGAGATGCTGCTCAGCTGCCTCCGAGGCTGCGAAGCTGCCACGAGGAAGCCCAGGAAGGAGAAGATCCTTCTTTGGGGCGTCTAACTCCGTAAACCTGGGTGCCTGCGGTTCAGAGCAGTGAATGCAGTCATGAAATGCTCAGTGGCATCAAAAGGAAGTTTGAGGGGGACATTCACTTTCTACTGCCAAACTGTTGATATGTGTGTCCTCTCAGTGAAAACATAGGTTTTCACACGGCGTTCCTGAGCCATGGATTAAACACAGCAGAGAGCATGTGCTGCTAGGGAGACTCTGAGACTTGGACACCAGGGCTTTTCACATCCGTTCTGCTGGGGACCCCCCTGCGGCAAGCGCTGAGCACTCTGCTGGGTCCTGCCTGCTTTGGTCTTTTCATGTTAAAAGGAGGAGGCTCCAGTGGATAGAGCGTCGGCCTGCAGACTGAAAGGTCCCGGGTTCGATTCCGGTCAAGGGCATGTACCTTGGTTGCAGGCACATCCCCAGTAGGGGGTGTACAAGAGGCAGCTGGTCGATGACTCTCTCTCATCGACGTTTCTAACTCTCTATCCCTCTCTCTTCCTCTCTGTGAAAAATCAATAAAATATATTTTTTTAAAAAAAGAGAAAAGAAAAAGAAAGAGGAGGAGGCTCAGATGGCCTCCTGAGGGGATGCTGTGGTTTCATTTTCTAACATAAGATTAAAGCCATATACAAGTGAAGCAATTTCAAATAAGAGTACCAACGGCATTCAATAATGTGTTCTGTGTTTCTCGTAGTTCAGAAGATGCAAAGAACCCACAAAAGAAGGTAAGGGGCGATGGATTAGGATTCTCTAATTGTCTGAGCCCTGTGAAATGACAGTTCTCCAGACAAGTTTTATTGCAACACACAGAAGTGATGTTTTCGTCAATACCAAATATGTTTTCTTCATTTCTGACTGCTTCTCAGGTGTGTTTTTCATTTGAGTTGCGGATGTGCACCAGTCGCTCTCCCTTTAAGGCAGTTACTGTTATTTTTGCAGCACAAAGTTCTCCTGCAACATTTCAACACCAGCGATGAGAGAGCCCAGAAGCGCCAGCCTATCCGTGGCTCTGACGAAGGTGAGATTCTCTCCCAGCTCAGAGCTGTTTAGATCAGTGGTCGGCAAACTCATTAGTCAACAGAGCAGCAAACCGCCACTAGAGAGCAGCATGTGGCTCGAGAGCTGCAGTTTGCCAATTTGCCAACCACTGGTTTTGATTCTTTCAATGAAACCTTCCCCTGGGAATCATCACCGTGGACCCACAGAATAGCTTTTCTTGGGGTGCCCCTTTGCACTTCAAAGGGTTTGCTTGGGTCACCCTTTTGCATTGCAATTATGTCCTCGAACCCTGTGCCCGGAGCTGAGGTGCTCAGCCACACTTGATTTCAGAGAGGAAGGGAGAGAGAGAAAGAGATAGAAACATCAGAGATGAGAGAGAATCATTGATTGGTTGCCTCCTGCACACCCCCTACTGGGGATTGAGCCTGCAATCCAGGCATGTGCCCTGACCAAGAATTGAACCAGGACCTCCTAGTTCATAGGCTGTTGCTCAACCTCTGATACACACCTCCTGGGCTGTTATTGTTTTTTAATTGGAGACCATGACCCTATTCTTAGACCAATGCTAAGGGTAAATTTTAGAAGGGGACAGGCATACGTGTAGATGAGCCCAAATAAATATAATAGTAAGAAGGCAAGATGATGCAAATTTTGGAGGATGTCTAAGCATTTTTGCATAGCTTATGGTTTTCTTAAGAACTCCAAAGACCGATTGACCGCATTGCTGCTGCCTTCCCAACAGTCCTGTTTAAGGTCTACTGCATGGACCACACCTACACCACCATCCGGGTGCCGGTGGCCGCCTCGGTGAGAGAAGTCATCAGCGCAGTTGCGGACAAGCTGGGCTCCGGGGAAGGCCTGATCATCGTCAAGATGAGCTCCGGAGGAGGTAATAGTCTCATTTAGTACTTGGAGCTTCTGCGAAATGGGCTATCCCATCCAAACACAAACCCCACCAGGAGTGAGTGTGGCCTTCCAAGTTGATCCAAAGGGACAAGTTGGTGCTGTGTGTCCTGCCGTGAAAAACGGAGGTCACGTGGTTAGAAGAGAGCTGGGTAAGTGCCCACTCTACAGCAGAGAGAGGGAAGTGGTCGGGCTGAGGCAGCTGGAACTGAGGGCTCTGGTGTGGCTGTCAGCCTGGAGTTCTTTCCATACAAACCCTAACGAAAAAATGCTTAGGGCCGTGGAGCTCTCTCAGAAACAGGGGCTCTGAGAGAGTCTCTAGCATGACACGCTAAAGTCTGAAGTTGGAGCTGCTCACAGGCTAGTTCTTCTCAGCTGATGATGTCCCCCTCCTTGTGAGGCAGCCCTGAAACTTAGGTCATCAAACCACAGGAGGATATTTTCCCCATGGGATTACTTAATTTTTCTCTGCTTCCCTGAAATGGAAAGTCATTCATCATATATTTGCTGGCCACTCAGGGTGTCTCTGACAGGAGACAAGGAGCTATGCCCCAAGGAGCTCCCAAGCTGCTGAGGTGAATTAAATAAACAGTTACAGTTCATGTCAGCAAGAGGCTAGAAGTGGTCAGCGTGTGTGGCCATGAGAGCCGGGAGAAAGGAGCAGGAAGGTTCCTTTGTCCAGCAATGATGTGACAGCCATTTGGGGACTCTTTCAGGACCAGGGGAGCCATTTCCGCTACCTCTGAAGACAAATGATGCCACTGATGTAGAATTTGAAGTGCATGCTGGACTCTCCCAGTGTTTTTCCTCCCACTTCTGTGCCCATAGCCCAGGGCCCCGGAGGCCTGTCCTCACCCACCCTCTGTGCATTCTTCCCCCAGCTGTCCTGGTCGGTCCCTCTCCTCCTCAGCTTCCTCCAGATGGCAGTGGCTCCCTGAGGACCCCTGCCTTTGCTCGATTCCCTTCCTGAAAGTGTACCTTTCCCCCTGGCACATGCTGTCTAGCCTCCTCCCTGCTGCAGCCCTTTCTCTCTCTCTCTCTCTCTCTCTTTTAAATATATTTCATTGATTTTTTTTACAGAGAGGAAGGGAGAGATAGAGAGCTAGAAACATCAATGAGAGAGAAACATCGACCAACTGCCTCTTGCACACCCACCCCCTTACTGGGGATGTGTCCGCAACCAACGTATTCGATACATGCCCCTGACCGGAATCGAACCTGGGACCTTACAGTCCGCAGACCGATGCTCTACCACTGAGCCAAACCGGTTTCAGCATGATAATACAAGTTGTCTTGGTCGCTGCCTCCTCGCTAGCATGTCAGCTCTTTCTGAACTAGGATTTTTTTTTTTTCCTGCATCATTTCTTTCTGTATCCTCATTGCCTAGAGTAGTGTCCAGCATGTAGTAAATTCTAAAAAACACGCGAATGAATTAATTTTAAAATACAGAAAGCTTACTGTAGGTAATGCAATTGTCCTCCGAATTTAGAAATAAGTGAAAAATAATAATAAACTTTGCATCTAAAGTCATATGGGGTCTCAGAACCCTCTGCCTACGTTTTCCAAAAGTGATCTTTCCACCTCCAAAGCCTGGCTGTGATTCCTACCCAGAAAGATAACTAACTTGTCATGTAAATAGCAAGTGTGGCTTTGTATGTCATTATTACAGCTGCAGCACAGAACTGGGTGCGTTGACCCTGAGGTATTTGCAGACCTGTTTTTTTGGTTCTTTCTGATGGCATCCTGAGTGCCAAGTGCCTGTGTGAGTGCTGTGGCCTTTTTATTCAGCAGGCCCCTTCAGCGCTGTATTTTATGCAGTCACTTTGCGTGTCCCGGTAATTCACCGAGCTGGCAATTTGTTGGTGTGATTAGGGCAGTGCAGCAAATCTCAGATGCATTTAATAGGCAATCTCATGCTTTTTATGTTCACAGAAAAGGTGGTGCTCAAACCTAATGATGTTTCAGTATTTACGACGCTCACCATTAATGGACGCCTGTTTGCTTGCCCGAGAGAGCAATTCGATTCACTGGTAGGTGTGGGGGGCCTCTCCGAGCAGCAGCGTCTGCAATCAGGAAAACTTGTCTGCAGCTTCCCTCGGCAGCCATGCTGAACCTAGTTGCTAAAAAAATATCTCGACTGCTACTTGGTTTCTTTCCTTTTCTGCGACTTAGTGGTGTTCGTTTGAGATGCTCCGAGCTTTAGATTTTCCTTTGTGGAATAAACCAAGTAGCGCCTCTATTGGGGCGTAATTCAGCTTTCAGAACTCTGTAGTAATTAACCTCCTTGAAATATCCCCAAGTTAATTATTAATATTAATATATGAATAGTTAGAACGGGATAAAAATAATTTTAAAACAATTTTATTCTGATTTATCATGCTTTGGCAAAGCCCTCTCCAGTCTATGAAAATTACTTTTCCCCAAAAGTGTCTGTCCTGTGTAGGAAACACCAGGGGCCAACGGTCTTCCCTGTGTTTTTGAGACACCAGTGAGACACTGAACACTGGTTCCCAGCCACACAGAGCTCTCGGTGAATATGGGATTGATTGGTCCGTAAAATAATTGAGGAGCCTACTCTCTTTTATGTAGGTGGTAGGGTGCATTTCTATTTATCCTATAAAAATTTATCCTATAAAAATTAGGCACGGAGGGGAGTAGCTATTAAAGTACCGTGTGTGTGTGTATGTGTGTGTGTGTGTGTGTGTGTGTGCTTGTTTGTGTGCATGCAGGGGATTGGGCGAGAGTTGGGGGATACCTCAGAAAGCCTGGTACAGTTCAGAGGATAGAGGACTTGTTTTTCCAACTTCGAACATTCTGGGCTAGGGCTGAACTGCATTGCATTTTGGGGGAGCATTTAACTACGTCACTACATGAATGCCTTCAAGTTTCCAACTAGATATTAGAGGGAAATCAAGATTTCCCTCCTTGGACTTTTAGAGGTTGTTTTCCTCCTCCTAATTCTGGCATTCTGGAGAGCCATTTTGCACACTCCAGCACACCTCAGCGGATTTTGGCAGTGTCTTGAATTCACCTGGAGAGGAACTTAGCCACGCAGCCTTAGTCCTCTTGTTGCTCCCTCCTGGGTCATGGCCCACGAGCCCTCTTGCCTGTCCTCCACCACCAGCACTGTAGGATCTGAGTATTTCCCACGGAGGGAGTAGGCAGCAATAATGTAGTAAATGAGTCTGGAAATGAAAGCCGCCGGAAGCCCGCTCCGTGCCCCGCTGGGGGCGCTGCAGAACGAGTTGGCCACAGGATGCTCAGGCCTCTCCTGCCAGCTGGCTCCGGGCCACAGTGCAGGGGCCGCGGTGTCCAGACGGATCTCGTGGACGGTCTCCAGCTCCCCGTGGGGCAGACGCTAACTTGTAAGCCTCTGTTTATTTGCACATCATCCCACAGCCTTACAAGTTTGTAGTACTTGCTCGTCTTCCATTTTAAGGCCTGAGCAATTGAAAGGAATTTACTTTGCAACAAGCACCCGGGACGTGAACTTGTTTAACTTTCTCTGCAAGTTACGTCGTCAGGCTAACTGACCAGCCTCACGAAACTGCAGATGTGCAGCTCCTTCTCCGGCTTTCTAGCGATTTCTTTATGGACAGTCCTTCTATAAACCGGGGTGTACAGGGGCCCCTCTGCAGTCCAGAATGCCGGCCAAAACCTGGGCACCGTGGGCATACACTTGGGGAGTGTCTGTTTAGCGCTCGATGCTGTGCTAGCTCCTGTGTGGCCCTGGACTGGCATCCCCAGGACAGTTCCTGTGAGACTAACACAAGCAGCCAAACACAAAGCAAATCCTGGTGCTAAATTGTGTTGTCTGGAATTCGTAGAGTGCCAGCCATTTATTCTACCATGTTTCCCCGAAAATAAGACAACCTCCAAAAATAAGACCTAGCACATGGAAAGATAAGACATCCCCTGAAAATAAGACCTAGCGCAACTTTGGGAGAAAAAATATAAGACACTGTCTTATGTTTGGGGAAACAGGATAGTTGGTTAGGGGAATGGATCCTGGAGCTGTAAATGCTCTTGACGTTTTGTTGAAGCATCGCTATTAGTAAAGAGCCAATTATTGTAAGATCCCACCGTGCTGTGGTTTGGCTCTGCTTGGACCCATTCACTGGTTCCTTCGATGTTTATTTAGTGCCCGCTGTGTCACTCCAGGTCTTGTAGATGGCTGTGGCTCTGGGAACTCACGGGGTAATGAGGGACACCAGCGTGGAATGAGAACTTAGTGCGGCCGGTGAGAACCCAGAGTGAGTCACGCGCTGTGAGGGAGGCAAGGAGAAAGGGAAGCTGGGATGGCAGCTGACTTTCACCATGTCTTTGTCACTGACAGTCAGCACATCCTCTTTATGTCTGCATTTCCTCATTTGGAAAGTGGGAGGAGAACAGTGCTCTCCTCTCCATCTCCACCCTCCAGGCCCGACATAGGAGCCAGCTCTCAGCAAAGAGCAGGGCGGGAGGCTGGGCGTGCGGTGCCCCCGGGCAGGCAGTTTCCGGGTCTGTGTGTGCAGCCCGGACCCTGCAGAAGCCCCGCCGGGCCTCCCCTGCGGGAAGTTTCCACAGGGATGTCCACGTGGCAGGATGTCCAGATGCTCCTCTGGGCCCAGGGTCAGCCAGTCCACCCCCCACTCATCCAGAGGAGCCTGTGGCTGCTCACATGGAGTTTCATGGAGGGGAGGGGTCAGCCTGTCCTTGGCCAAAAAGGGAGGAGGCTCGCTCCGTGAGCCCCGCCCACTGAGAAAAGGCAAAGATTCAACAGGGCTTTCTGTTATCCTCGCCAAAGGGAAGCAGGAATGATAGGCCCGTATCCACAAGTAAAAGAACTTTGCCTACTTCTTTAGGTCGGCATCTTCCCTGCAGTTATTGTGCCCTCTGTGGGAAGCCCTGTAGCCTCAAGGGCAAGAGACAAGGATGTGGGCCCACTGAGGAGACGGACCGTGGTATAGAGTCCGTGGGAGGCCAGCTCCACAGAGGAGCAGAGGGGCTTGGACACAGTTGCAACTGTGAGCGGAAGGGAGAAAGTGCAGGGCCAGTCTGAGCCTGAGAGGCGTCCTCAGACCAAGCCTCTAAAGCCACTTCCCCAGCTTTTCCACCTCACAAAGACCTGCCGGAAGCCACCCTCCTTACCTATGTCCATAAGCTACTTGCCTGTCAGCTTCAGGCTGGCTCCCTAAGTTTCAGAACTTCGACATCATTGTCTGTCTTCCCTGCCCTCTGTGCCTGCATAGAGCAAATCAGGAACAACAGTATTCACCTCTTCCATCCAGGTGCACTGATCACCTGGTCCTGCACCTTTGCATTGCTCCACACATGCAGGAAGGAGACTAATGGGGGACAAAGGGGTGCGGAATAAGGGACCTCCCCTGTGCTAGGCACCGTGCTTATGAGCCACACTTCAATTACTCCCATTCAGTCCTCTCAGCATGCCTAGGTCCTAGGCACTGTGATCTCAACTTGCCAGAGCTGGAGCCAACATTCAGGAGGTTAGAGCAATGGTCAGCAAACTCATTAAGTCAACGGAGCCAAATATCAATAATATAATGATTGAAATTTCTTTTGAGAGCCAAATTTTTTAAACTTCTTCTAACACCACTTCTTCAAAACAGACTCACCCAGGCTGTGGTATTTTGTGGAAGAGCCGCACTCAAGGGGCCAAAGAGCCGCATGTGGCTCGCAAGCCTCGGTTTGTCAACCACTGGGTTAGGGAATCAATTCAAGTCTGTAGTGAGAGTGGGGTTTAGGTTTAGAGTCTGTTACTCTGTGAAGCTGGCACTCACCTGACTTACCACAAAACCCCAAAGCCTCATCCTGTACTCAGAGGCTCTCTAAAAGCTGGCCCTGAGCTCCATGCTCCTGCCAAGCAAGACTGATGGCAGCGACCCCACCTCCGTGCCTCTCTGGCCAGCTTTGAGCTGTAGCAGACCATCCCGGGTGCTCAGGGGAGTCCTCGCTGTTCTAACCCACCCAACGTTTGTCTGCTTCGTCTTCCAAAACCCGGCTTCTTTCCCCCGAACCTCTTCAGCCTATCCTTCATTCCAAACGCCCGCTGACTCTCCAAGAGCCCGTTCACCTCTCCCACCTGTTCGTCTGTGTGTCCGGGAGTCAGGTGTGTGTCCATGCCTCTGATGCCCCGTATACATGCAAATGAACCGCAGCTGTTGACCGTTGATGTGCAGAACGGTACTTGCTGGTCAGGGCACAGTCCTCTCTTAGCTGCCAACTTTCAAATGCAGGAACCGCCCACATCCTGAATATGTCATTTCTTTAGTGCCCGGAATGCAGAGGGCACTTATAGAGTGTAACGGTTATGGGTGATGATAATAATGATGGTACAACCTGTACAGTGTTAGTACTTCCGGTCTAAATACTAAATATCCATGTGTGGCATACATGATATGAAGGAAATGCTTGTTCACTTCCTGTGACTTTCATAACTTTGTACTTACATTAGAGAGGGATAGGTGTTAATATTTTATACATATTTCCAATGTATATGAATCATTTATTTTGCTAAAGAAAGGACTGTAAATCACTTCTCAAACAGTAAAATGACATAAGTAAGTTGGTTGAAAAGTTCTGACTGAGGGACTTCCAGAGAGTAGGGAGTTTGGTTTTCTGATACTTTGGCCCAAACCACCAGGCCTGTGTGAGAATCGTCCTTTGCACAGCATCTCGCGGAGAGGGGATGAATCGCAGCACACAGAGCCCCGACCTCTGTAACCCCAGGTGACGTGCTGTAAGAGATGGAGCTGTGGCAATTCAACCACAGTCACCGGCCCCGGCCGGGTAGACAGTAACCAGCCCTGTGGCTACACAGCCGTGCCCATTTCCAACAGCTTCACGGGGAACTAGGAGGGGAAAGCCCCCAGGAACCTCTCACACCTTTACTGGAGAAAAAGGCATTGTTTCCAGGGACCTCTCAGGCTCAGGCACACGCTGCTCTGAGTCTGACTTGTGACGTCCTCATACATGTCCCAGCCAGTGAAACTGATCAGAGTGTCGGTGATGACTGGAGAGAGGGCACTGGAGTGAGTGAGTGTTGGGCATGAAGGCGCCCTTGCCCTCTGGGTAAAAGCAAAGTTCCAAGATGTTCCCGAAAGCCTCACCCCAGTCCTCTCCCCTCCCGAGAGCAGCCAGCAGTAAGTGCTCGGCTGCTTTGAGATGCTGATATATTTTCGTATGATTATTCATAGACTCCCTTGCCAGAACAGGAAGGCCCAACTGTCGGAACAGTGGGAACTTTTGAACTGATGAGCTCGAAAGATTTAGCATACCAGATGACAATTTATGATTGGGAACTCTTCAACTGCGTGCATGAGGTAAGCCGCTTGATTGAGAGCGTTAGCAGGTACACAGCCCTTCCCGCGGACGCTGCTGGCATCGCTCAGCTGCAAATGCTAATGCGGGCTGCAATGTGGAAACCACATGATCGTTTTTTTTTTAATACTCGGTTTATTAATAAAGCCTGTCAGAAAGCCTTTGAGTGTTAAAGAAAGATCTGCATGATTTACAGTAAGCTCTGTGTCCCTGAGTGCATGGAGCCAACAGCACCTAGTTGGTCATTAACATATTTCACAGGCGGAGTCCTGGCCCCTGATTACGGCCACATTCACTGACCTGCGCTGATTTGTCTTGACAGAAGAGAGAAGCCTCGCTGGTGTTTTGATTGAAAAGCAAAGAAGTGACATTGTTTTCCTTTCTCTTCTAGCTGGAGCTAATCTACCACACATTTGGAAGGCATAATTTTAAAAAGACCACAGCAAACTTGGATTTGTTTCTGAGGAGATTTAATGAAATTCAGTTTTGGGTTGTCACCGAGATCTGCCTTTGTTCCCAGCCCAGCAAGCGTGTTCAGCTCTTAAAGAAATTTATTAAAATAGCAGCCCAGTAAGTATTGTGAGCGTGGGAAGAGAAAAGTGTTGGAGCCGCATCTTCATGTTGTTCTCTCTCGGACTGAAAAGAAAAGCAAGATACAGGGTCTCCTTGTGCACCAGGACCAACCACGGGGTCTTACACATACCTGCACTCTTGTAAAAGATGAATTCCACCCTGTTTTTGTCATGTTTGGCATCATTATATAAATTAAGATCTCACAGCACTGATGCCGGGGGCCGAAGTCGTGACCCCTTTTTGCTCTGAACCACTCAGACTTTGTGCCTCCTTCAGTGTTCGCCAAGTTCTGTTGTGGAAAGTTCTGTCTCAGGAGGCCCTTGAAGTCGGTGTCCAACATGATGCATTCTCGCCAGTAGAGGGCAGTAGGCACACACACTTCCAACTCAGCCCGAATAAAATTGATAAAATGCCTAATGGGGAGCTAGCTAACCTGGTACATGAAAATCATCTCCACACACATCAGCAAAAGCGAGCAGCTTATAAATATTCTATGTAAGAGCACTTCGTGGGGAACAATTTATTTACTGCGGAGGCCAGTTAGATTTCTCCATGACCTGAATTTAATCTCCTGTTACTTAGACAGGCCTGACAACCTCCTGTTTACGTCCATGTTTTTGGTATCACCACAGTGCTAAAAATAAAATGCTAAATGTGGCCTGCGGCTGGGAGACGTCTTCCCTTTCTGAGTGCAGGGAGCTGGGGGCGCAGGAAGGTGGGGTGCACAGCGATCCCAACCAGGCAGTTTTCTTGAGCCAAACAGTTTAGATCCCATCCAGAGGCTGATTTCCAGGGCTAAACAAAGAAGTCAGTGCTGCTTGACATTCTATAGAAATCAGCTTGCCAAATGCTAGAATTTGTTTTTATTTATTTATTTATTTATTTATTGCCAAAATTTTGAAGGTTCCCCAGGATATCCAAGTCCCCTGGATATACAAATGCTGGTGTCTCTTCATTTGGAAAAGCTTCCCTTTTGGAGAAAGATTTGGTAAAAGGTTGCTTTGTGAATGTGTGGTTCAGAGGGTAGCCACTCTCCCTCGGAGCCTGAATAGCCTTGTCGCAAAGGACAAATGCCTTCACATGTTTGGAAGGAGATGATTATGGAAACTGTGACAATGTATGCCTTCCTGGGACAAGGAGCACATTCCTCCTCCCCTCAGCCTGGCGGCGCTGAGGGCGGCCAGGGGACGAGAGAGGCAGTCTGCACACAAACGCGGAAAACCAGGAGACCATGGGGACCCGGCCCTGTGATTTTCCAGGGCGACACAGCAGAGTGTCCCAGAGCTCAGGGCTTCTTAAAAAAATATCTTTGCCTTTCTTTTCTCTCCTCTCTCTGATTATGTAAATGAGTAGTGCATTTGGCCTTCAGTTTTAATTGGTTTATCTTACTTAACCATTCTGAATCCGTGCTGTCCTGCAGTGGCACTGTTCACACAGCCCTGAGGAGAAGATTGCACACATTTATAAACCAAGAGCCACAGGCTGAGGTCTGAGCCCGTGGCACGGAGAGGTTGTCTGGTATTTTTAGAGAATCTCAGCATATCCTGTTGAAGCTCTTTGACCAGCCGGGAACTGTGGGGACTTGGGAGTCCAAATGTCATCATCCCCTTTGGGAGGTGAAGAGATGGAGGCATAGAGAAGTGCCATGGCTTACTAAGGGGGGTAGTCTCTTGCCAACAGTGACCAGAGCAGTGACCAGAAAGGCTTTCTTTTAAGACCACATGGACAGGACAAAGGCAAGCGTGTGCACACGATGGTGCTCACTGCCTTCAGCCCTGGCCAGCTCGCTGTTTCACTGATGGGATCAGACACACTGGAGCATCTCTGAAATGTCCTCCCACGTCCACACAGACCGTTGAAGAACCACTCTTGGTCATCTCTGCAGGAACAGGGGCAACAAGTGCTACAAGTGAACTAGCCTTTTACAAAAATGTTATCCAAACAGGATTAGTGATGATGCAGTCCACTTAGATAGCCACGTTGATTTGGGAGAAGGATTTGCACTTGCTGCAAAATGAGTTCCTCCCTCCCTTTTCAAGGAGCCGGTATGAAGTTGGGCTATTAATCCAAGGACCTGGGCTAAATATTGCCATTCTACTAAGTGTCTTTGGTCTTGCCCCACAAGATTCTTATTCCCAAATACATATTTAGAAAAGGTAAAGATGGCATAAGTATAGATTCCAAATATATATTTAGAAGAGCTAATGGTGGTATAAGTATAGATTCAAAATGATCAGCTTAATTAACATCAATAAACACAGAGAAAACAGGTTATTTCTCTTCTGGTCCATTGCTTGGGTGTTTTTTTCTCAGCTTTAAAACTCCTTGAGTCGATAGGGATCATGGCAGGCACATGGACCTTTTTGGATAGATTAGAAGCGTTTGCAGGGCAGCTGGAAGTCTGGTGGCTGCAGCACTGTGGCTTCCTTGTTCTCTCTCCAGAGGAGGTGCCCAGCTTCAGGCTACAAGTCCGGACCTCATCAAGGACATATGCTTTCTCTGTTTCCATCTCACGAGATGTTTCCCTCGGGTCCCACGAGATTTCCAGCAAGTTTGGGGTATTAATAACCATCCCTAGGGCAGGTGTCTTTAAATTCCTTCTCAACACCTGGACTTAGCCCAGCCAGAATGGCTCAGTGGTTGAACGTCAGCCTATGAACCAAGAGGTCACAGTTGGATTCCTGGTCAGGGCACATGCCCAGGCTGTGCTCGATCCTCAGTATAGGGCATGCCAGAAGTAGCCAATCAATGATTCTCGTCATTGATGTTTCTCTCTCTCTCTCTCTCTCTCTCTCTCTCTCTCTCTCTCTCTCTCTCTCTCTCTCTCTCTCTTTCTCCCTTCTCCTCTGAAATCAATAAAAGTATATTAAAAACAAAAGCAAAACCTAAAATTAGCCCAAACCATCACCTTTCTAAAATTACAGTGAGAAACCAAACAGCAGAGCATGGTCACCCACGTGGAACTTACACAGTGCGTTCCATCTATGGTTGCCCGGTCTCAGAAGGGAGACTTGACGAATATTAATGGCTATCAGCAAATAGAACACTAACATTGCTCTCTCGCTCAAAAGTGGCATTCTACTCCAGCATGTGCCTCTTGTGTTTCAGCTGCAAGGAGTACAAAAATCTGAATTCCTTTTTTGCCATCGTCATGGGGCTAAGTAATGTTGCTGTGAGCCGCCTGGCACTCACGTGGGAGGTAAGCTTCAGCTGAGATCCAGCTGTGACTTTTGCCTCAAGAAGAAACACACAGGCTCACCAGTGAGCTTTCTGTATAGAAATATCACTCACGCTCGCGTAACAATGGGGAAGGTGGGACACTTTGAGGGAGGTGACCTGGCTCCTTTTTCTAGTTGCCGCAGAGTGTGAGCTGAAAGAGGTTCTGTCCTTTCGTGTGCGGAGGGTTCTCAACGTCTCGGTCTGTATCATGTGTAAATAATCATAAGTCTGGTTCCTGGGTGTGTAATGGGAATCAACAACAAAGGTTTTGCTCATAGATTTCATTGTTCTCTGGGGTGTCTGCTTATTACCTTTGCAATAAACCTTATTTATAATTAAGAGAAGACAGAAGGTCCTCCCCACCCCCCCAAGTCATTTTGCTTCTGGGAGAATTAGCCAGAAAGCCAACTGTTTGGCCCAGCCGAGTACCACCTGCCTGACAAACCTCTCTGTGGATGGAGGAACAGCAGTTGGCTACTAGTCAGTTTGGGGCAAAAGTTATGCCAGTGTATTATGAACTTTCGTAGCAAATACGATTAGAGGTTTATTGATAGTTGATCATTTATGCTAGAGGACATTAGCTAAGTACTCAAAATGTGCCTCGGAGTGTGAATTGGAAAAGGTATTGTGCACGGAGTAGGTATATAGTCAAAGGAAGACTAAGCTCTAAGAGGACATGCACACAAAAATAGACTCTTACTAAAAATAAAAAGCCTGTGTAAGTGGGACACGGAAAGAGGGCGAGAAGGAGATAACAGAGACTGGGTTTGCGTTGGTGCTCCGGGCAGCTGATTGCATCGCTAAGTGTTTCCGTGAGAGGTTTCCTTCCCCACGTCCCTCTTGACACTGTTTTCTTCAAGGGAAACGTTTGGAGGGCAGGTCCTCACACGTCTTTCTGTCTTGGTTTTCTCTTAAAATTCCAGGCGGATGCAGCACACAGCAGCTCATCCCCTGAATATAGGAATGAGGGCATTGGCAGGGCCCACGTGCCCCGCAGCTGTGTCACCTTCCACCCAGAAGGACAGACTGAGAGCTGCCAGGGAGCTGAGCGATGAAGCCACCTGTCCGAGCCCACAGCTCTGGGTCTCTCTGGAGACCTAGGAGTCCCCCTCAGCTTTCCCCAACCTGTTTCCAGCATCTGATCACCCCTGGCCCTAGAGTCCAAAAGGCCTGGTTGGGATGACCAAAGAAGTATAAAGCCCCCTAGGGGTCCAGAAGGCCCCGTGTAGGCACTGCATGACAGCAGCCAGACATGAAGGCTGGAACATGTGGGAAGCACTGACACAGTCCCCTTTCCTCCTAAAGAGAGAAATGGAGGTTCATTGTGTGTATGTAGGGAGGGGGGAGGGAGGATGCAGTCAGAAAAGGCAGAGAGCTGTCTGGCCAGTCCTCCTGTCCCATGGGGAACAGGAAAGCATCCCTCATTCTGTGAGCTTCTGTTCTCTTGCACATTGCTGGAAAGAGAAGATTAACCTTTCATCCTTTATAAGCCTTTATTTTTTTTTTAAGACGAATATATTATATCACTCAGTAAAAAGATCTTTGATTTGGATTTATCTACCTGGACTTGCCAGGCACTCCCGAGGGCTTCCCTGCAACCGCAGTGAGAACCGGATGGTGCACGAGCAATGTGGGCTCCAGCGCCTGAGCCCCAACCGCATGAAACTGTCCATGGGCAGACCGGAAAATCAAGTTAAACCGCATGGCAAAGGCAGTGGGTCAGCATGGGAGGGCAAGGCCGATCTGAGATAAAGCACATGGCAGTGATAACCCGGAGCAGGTCCTTGGCCCGGCAGTACTGACATCTGGGGCAGGATCGCTCTCTGTGTGGGCGGTCCTGTGCATTGTAGGTCACTTTGCAGCACCCCTGGCCTCTGCCTACTGAATACCAACACCTCACCACCTACTCAATACCAACAGCACCTGCCACCTCACCCCACCCCTATGACAACAAAAGATGTCTGCAGACATGATCCAATACCCAATATTCCCTGGGTTGTGCAAAAGTACCCCCCATTGAGCACCCCTGCTCTGGGGTGTAGGTAGATAATGGTATTAAGACCCACAACATTGTTTTATTACCATATGCCTTCCTGCTTTTGACACAAAAGCCCAGCTAAGTTGAGAAAGAGAACTAGTGTGAGAGGTGGTCTAGCCAAACGAATTCACTCCTAACTTATAAAATTAATTTATAAATTAATTTATATAATTTATAAAATGATGTTTGTGGAACATCATCTCCTAATACAGTGATCGGCAAACTGCTGCTTGTGAGCCACATGCGGCTCTTTGGCCCCTGAGTGTGGCTCTTTCACGAAAATACCACGTGTGAGCTTGCACATACAGTGAGTGCGATTGAAGCTTCGTGGCGGATGTGCAGAAGTCGGTTTTCGGGTCTCAAAAGAAATTTCAGTCATTGTACTGTTGATATTTGGCTCTGTTGACTAATGAGTTTGTCGACCACTGACCTAGTATGAGGATCTGGATACTTCCCTTGGGATGAGATCCTTGTGCCTCTTGATGCCTACCTGTTTTCTTCCCTTTGAACATCCCCTCTAGGCAAGGATAACCAGTTTCCCCGAAGCCTAAGTTGAAAATAGGTGCCAAGAAAATGAATTTGGGTTCCTAAAAACAAAATAATATACTTTACAATGACTAATAGGACTCTTTAAACTGACTTGGATATGAGGGGGGATTGGTTGATGATGTCATTGTGCAGAGCAGAGCTGAGCTGGGAATCTCTGAGGTCCAGGGCAGTCTGTGCTCCCATTGCCGCAGGATGGCAAGCAGGTCACACTGCTCTCTTGGGGTTGCCCAGTGGGAAGGGAAAAGCCTAGCTTTACTAAAAGCTTGGAACTTAAGCAGAGCCAGAACCGTAGATGGAAGATGTTTTAGTATCAACCTCCTAAGGTAGATACGCAGGGACAGTCAGTGGTGTCAAATCATGTGCCTGAGTATAAGCATAAGGAATTGCTAAGTTGGTGGAGCTGTCCGTGTTTGTAGGACAGCAGGGCAGGGAAATCCTGTGGGAGAAATGCCTGGCTAGGAAGCGAGGCGCGTACGAGAGAGGGAACAGGAAAGGAAGCAGGTGATGCGCGTTCCAGAGGCTGTGACCACAGGCAGCTGTGTGGCGTGGGGCATTTCATTTAAACGGTGGGACTTAATGTCTGTAAAACACAGGTTTAATCTAGCCAAGTACATATTTATGGAGCACCCTCTGTGTTCCTGACACTTGTTGGTACCAAGTATGGAGCAGAAAACAAAGCTGGTGAAAAATCTCATGTAGCTCACATCATAAGGGAGAAGGCTTGAAAAGGGACGTTTGTACAACTTTTCGTCCTAATATCCTCTGTCTGAATTCCTAATTGTGGGAATCAGAGAGTTCGATTCCAAAACAGCTGTAACCAGTTCTCTTTATGAATAATGCATTTGAGAAAACATTATAAACGCATGGAGGCCAAAGCATCCATAGTTACTCTGGGTTCAACTAGGTTAAGACTTTTAAAAGAGTTCTCTGTATTCCAGAAGAGAACCAGTTCTCTGTATCCCAAAGAGATACATTTCCTCCCCCCAGAAATGGTAGCACGTGATGCACATCTAGATACTGAACCTGACATGTGAATGCGGCATTTTCATTTCATTAACAGAAGCTGCCAAGCAAGTTCAAGAAGTTCTACGCGGAGTTTGAAAGTTTAATGGTAAGTGACAGCGGCTCCTTCATTCTGTTCGCTGTCTGCATTAATCCAACGTCTGATTAGCTGAATTGAAGTTCTCATTTCAGAAATTTTATCTGTCCTTGTATGACTTTAAGAAGTTTATGATCCCGTTTTAGTGCTGCTAAAACAAGCATGTCTGACTAATGAATGGCGCCCTCGGGAACTAACTTAAAGAGGACTTATGTCCCACATAAGGTCAATTTGTGTAACTAAGAAAAGCAATGTAATAGGATCCTCTCCACCGAGCACAGGTTGGCTCTGGGCTGGAAGTTGCATTTTTCTTGGCTTGCCAAAATTATTTTTCCTCACTGGCTGGGAGGTGTGAACAGACAGGAAAGGAGTGGGACTTGGCAGGAGTGACGGGATGGTTTCACAAAGGGCAAGTCGGGACTGGCTCTGCCAGGCAGAGAGGAGGGCGATCCGAATGCAGGGAAGGAGCGGCGCTTGGGGAGAAGGGATGCTCCTGGTTGGGGTTTGTTTTTCGGGTTTTATATTTGCAATCAAAAGGATCTCTCCCCTCCATCGCTCTACGAAAATCTCCCTTCAATCATGAAAGGAAATAAAACGCAAATTGTTCTCATGCCACATAAAGTTGTTTTAAAACACAGATCAGCCGAAACTGGTTTGGCTCAGTGGATAGAGGGTTGGCCTGTGGGCTGAAAGATCCCAGGTTCGATTCCGGTCACGGGCATGTACATTGGTTGCAGGCACATCCCCAGAATCGGGTGTGCAGGAGGCAGTGATGGATGTTTCTCTCTCATAGATGTTTCTAGCTTCTTATCCCTATTCATTCCCCCCGCCCCTCTCTTTCTCTCTCTCATAAAAAATTTTAAAAAATCAATAAAATATATTTTAAACAATTAAAATAAAACACAGATGAGTTTGTTTAGCCAAGTCTTACCTTTCTTTTGTAGCTTCACTTGATCCCAAACTCCCTGATTGTGGGATGACAAGACGGGTGTGTTGGGAGGTGAAGGGAGTGGTGCATGTGTCATTAATTGCTCATCGGCCTCTCTGTTTCCCCAAAGGATCCTTCCAGAAACCACAGGGCCTACCGGCTGACAGTGGCTAAGCTGGAGCCTCCTCTCATCCCCTTCATGCCTTTGCTCATCAAAGGTAATAATTCCGAGAGCATGCCCGCCACGCCAGCGATGAGTAGAGGGGAGAGGAAATGAACAAGAGCCTCATCAGATGGCTCTTTGAGGAAGCATCTTTCCACCTTCTGCCTCTCCTCTCAGTCTTGATTTTTCCAAAAGGGCTGGGAAGGTGATTGGAGGAGCAGGAATCCACCATTTGGAAGCCTTGATAGTAAAACAGAGGGTTAGTGGGGAAATTTTACTAACCTCAGGAAAAGTGCTTTTAGAAAGTTAACCACCTAACATAAAAAGGAACTATTGTCAACTTTTTTTTTTTTTTTCAACTGCAGTGTTATGCAAATCCTCCGGCATAACCTAATGGTGCTATTGTGGTTTCTGGGTGTGAGGTATTTCTGTTAGTGATCAGAATGTGACTTTTCTTTCTTTGCAGATATGACATTTACTCATGAGGGGAACAAGACATTCATTGACAATCTAGTCAACTTTGAAAAAATGGTACGTGCACGGTGTTGTTGTTTTTTTTTCAAATGAAATTTGCATAAGAAATAATTTTCCTATATGCTGCCACATTAAAAGGGGAGTTACACATAAAGGAGTTTTGAAATCCTCGGTTCAAATTGACTGCTAGTTTACTCTGTCAGTCTCTTTTGTGAGGTTGAATGGTATTTGTGCCATGGCTCTCAGCAGCGGCAGCTTTTACGCCTGTGCTTGGTCCTGGGCTGCCTGCTGCTAAAATGCAGAACGCTCCAGAGTGGCTCCCGCGGTGTTGTTTTGCTGTGAGGTTTGTGGCACTTGCCTGCCCCAGGACGCCTTTGAAATGTTTACCTGCCGAACCTGACTTTAGTGCATGTAGGTAAAAGGCAACTCTATAGCCGATCTTTATTAGGTGACTATTCATCTGAATGTGCTTTGTTTGTTCCAATAAAGTTCACTGAAGTTCAGAGAGGGAACTTGAAAATCTTCATATCCAAACCCAAGATTTTTATAAAGAACACATGTGGGACTGGCACATATTCAGTATTTTTCAATCTTACTCCCCCCCCCCCTAGATAGGCTGTGTTTTCTGGCATTAGTTACTTTGCAGCTTATGTTCTTATCATAAAGCAGGTCATGCCAAAACTCTTGTTTAGCTGCATCGTGCATATTAATGGAATGCTCCATTGTCTTCTGAATCCATTGGCTGCAGCCTGGATGGATGAGGTGTCAGTTTGCATCTGTGGGTGAGCATCTGCCTGGGGCCAGGGTTTGCAGTGATGAACGTGGTTCTTTCAGGAGAAACTAAGGGCTTGGAGTTTGGGACACATGAGGTTCAATTCTGAGCTTCGTCACTTTGCAGGTACCCCTTCTCTGCTGGTCAATTTCCCAGGTAAAGAATGGAGATCATGCCTCCTCCATCTATTCCTGGAGAGAGTGGGTGGGTCCAGAGTATATAAGTATTCCTGCAAGCGATACAGTGCGATAGAAATCCTATCAGAAAACTGTTCTTCTATTTGCTTCTTGAAACCCAGCTCGCCTGAAGGTTCCAGGAGAATTGGAAACACCTGCAGTAATCCTGTAAGGCTCACACCATTTGACTTTGGGAATGAGCTTATTGCAATGCCCAGTTTGAAAAAGAAGCGCAGCAATTATTGGGCACTAGGTTCCCACGTCTTAAGCTTCTTAAGAAATAGCACATGTGTTCACATTCTTCAAAGATACTCTATCCTAGAGGGCAAATATTTTCTCAGCAGTCATCCCCTTACCCTTCGCTCCAAGGGCAGGGTATGGACATCTCTGATACTGTGTCAGTTTAATAATTCTTTGGTCAAACTTAAAAAAAAATCTTTGCTTACTTATTAGTATGGAGAATTAAGTGTATTTCCCCAAAGAAAACCTGTTTTCCAGCAATGAGAGATTTAGCAAATAGTTAAAGAACCTTCTGGGTGACTTATGCAGAAATGCAGTCAGAGTGATGGCTGAGCCAACATTTGACTATAAAATATACACGTGCAAAGAGGCATAGAAGTCGGGGTTTCCTAAAAGAGATGGTTGAACTTTTTAGAACTTTTGATCATTAAAGTTAACTAACAAACAAGAACAGCAAAAATATCCATAAGGAGGAGGAAAGTTGTTTCATCTGGGTTTTTAGGTGTACCCATAACCCGCAAAGGCAAGGTCAAGATTGCACTCAGTGGACATTAAGGGAGTTCCCCTTTCTCATTTCTGCACTTCATGCTCATAGCAGTGGATTACACACACACACACACACACACACACACACACACACACACACACACGGGGACCAGTGCAAGAATTCGTGCACCTTGAAAGAAACTATGTGCCACGAGGCTGCAGTGGGCACAGGGAAGAGTCTCAGCCCATTCTCCACGCCCCTGCTCAGCCCCTCCTACCATGGCCCCTGATCCCCTGTCTGCCAGCAGCCCTACTCCTGCCACCATCACTCCCACACACTGAAGGCACAGCCTCCCCCCCCCCACACACACACACTGACTGCACAGAGTGATTGGAGCTGACGCCAGCAGTGGGTCCAAGCAGGCCCAGAGCCATCAGCAGGTGCAAGTGGTGGCTGCTGCCCCGATCACTCCTCAGGAGCAGGAGGAGGTAGAGAAACTTTCAGGGGTGATCAGGGCAGCAGCCACTACTTGCACCCCCTGATGGTGCTGAGCTATTGGGACTGGCACTGAGCACCAGCAGTGGGTGCAAGCAGTGGCTCTGGCATTGGCAGTGGGTGTGAGTGAGGCCATCGCCAGCAGCAGGTGTGAGAGGCAGCTGCCAGCTCCAATTGACCTTCAGGAGCAGGGGAGATGGAGAAGCCCTGATGAGTAATCAGGGCCAGCAGCCACTGCTTGCACCCACTGATGCAGCAGGTGCGAGTGGGGCCGGCAGGTGCAAGTGCCAGACAGGAGCATAGAATTTTCGGTAATCACCAGGAGCTCACCCCAATGACAGCGACCAGCACTCCACCTTGGTCTGGCACCTCTGCTCACCAGCTTCACCATCCTGCCTCGGCCAATGCCCACCATGTTCCATGTGTGCCCCCTGGTGGTCAGCGCACGTCATAGCGATCAGTTGTTTGGTCTATTTGCATGTTAGCCTTTTATTATATAGGATTATTGATTTCAGAGAGGAAGGGAGAGGGAAAGAGAATCATCAATGGTGAGAGAGAATCACTCATCAGCTGCCTCCTGCACACCCCCCACTGGGAATTGAGCCCTATAACCTGGGCATGTGCCCTGACCAAGAATTGATGCTCAACCACTGAGCCATGCCAGTCATTCAGGAAGAGTCCACTTTTGCTTAAAAGCTACTGAATGGCTAAAATAACAGTTCAGCTGCAATAACATAAACCCAAATTAACAATGGCTTAAGCCAGCTATGTGTATTTCTATCTTGCATTAAAGTCCATGCCAGTATGGTAGCTCTATGCCAGGAGGCAGCCAAGTTCCAGAATTCTCTTCATTTCACCCTCCACATGGTCCAAAGGGGCAACTGCCAGGACCCCATTCCAGTGGAGGGGAAGGGAAGGGAAAAGGCAGATACACACTTCTTCCCCGCAAGGCTAAGACCTGGAGTTGTACTCACCACTCGGCTCACATTTTACTATCAGAAATGTAGTCCCATGCAAGGGAAGGTAGGAAATGTAGCCCTTATTTGGGGATATCCATGTGCCCCACTAAAAATTAGGTGTTTTTATTACTGTGAGAGCGATGGGGAGGAAGGATACAGAAAGAGTACTGTTGGTTCTTCTGCAACTATAACGTTTATTTCATTTGATACATCATGACTGTTTAATTTTACAGTTGCCCTTCCATGAGTTAGATGTTCCTGAAAAATGAAATAGAATTTGAAAAGGGTTGATTATGGTTTTTAAACCTGGCTTTGACCAGCCTGGCACTTGTCAATTGTCCAACTTTTTCTCTCCATACCCTCTCCCCCTCTCTGCCCGAGCCCCCATGCCACAGCCACAACCACAACCACAGCCACAGCCATAGCCACAGCCACAGCCACATACAACTCCCACGAGTGGCGCTGTTATTCCTGTGTGTCTTATGGAAGGAGGCAGCTCCTTTTTCCGGTTGGTGTGCATGCTGCTTCCCAGCCAACCACCAGCAAGGCCAAGGTGCCGTGCAGAGCTGGCAGCCTTTGTGGGCTGGTCGGCTACGTCCCCAGAAGGAGCCCCTGCCAGGGGTCGAAGTCACCAGGGGAGCCAGGGACACAGATGCCTTCCCGGGGCGGCAGCATGGCAGTCACAGCAAACGGCCGTGCCAACCTTAAGTATTTTTATTTTGAATCTCTTCACCCGTGAGGTACGAAGTGAGGATTAGAGAATCTGTTGCATATTGGTTTTCAGGATTTGTGACTAGGAACAAAAGAGAATTCACACTCTGATCCTTATGCAAAAGTAAAAATAAAGAAAGGCAGACATTCTTTCATTTGCAGGGGAACATAAAGGAGTATTCAAAAAAAATGTTTGAATAAAGCCCTTTGTAGCTTTCTGTGGCATGCATGAATATTTATAGCATCGAGGAGGTAGACGAGCAATGGATTAGAGGATAATATGCTGGCCGGCTGCCACTATCCCAGGCTGCAGAAAGCAGGCTGGTGGCCACAGTTGCTACTGTATTAGGAGGTTGGTTCTATTTCAGACGTACCCATATTAAGGTGTATTTATTTATGAATGTTATTTTAAGGTAGTCATTTTATTTGGAATGAGAGGCATGGGGCAAACTTCTATACTTCTGGAAACATTAACAGAGGCTAATTCATGAAGGAAGTGAAATGTTTTGGATCCTTTTATTTTTGTATTATGGGAGAAGGGAAAATTACCCCTTCTTGATGCTTATGGCTGGTGGAATAATTAAAAATGACATAAGGCAGAATAGCAAGAGAAAATCAAATTTAATATATTAGGTCTAGTAATAATTAATGTCGTTTTTAATACTTTTTTTTTTTAAATCAAATTTATTTAAACAATACAACAAAATTTAATCAACAATATAGTTGCCGTTGTTTTCTACTACTTGTGCCCAATGCTCAGGAAGCATTTTAATCCCTCTGTTGAAAAATTCTTGTGATTTTGATGCAAAAAATTCGGTCAATGCATTTTTGAGGCCTTCTTCATTATTAAATTTTTTTCCAAGAAGAAAGTTTTGCAAAGAACGAAACAAATGGTAATCGGAAGGGGCAATATCAGGAAAATATGCAGGTTGAGGGAGAACTTCCCATTCCAACTGGTGCAGTTTTTCAGCAGTGATTCTTGCAGTATGTGGTCGTGCGTTATCGTGGTGAAGAACTATGCCCTTCCGATTAATCAGCGCGAGTTCTTTTTCTCTTAAAGCTTGGGCTAACCTTTCCAATTGGGCACTATACACTGCACTTGTAATGGTTTGGTTAGATGGTAAAAGTTCATAATGAAGAATTCCTTTAAAATTCCACCAAACACACAACATCACTTTTTTCGCATGCAAGTCAGGTTTTGGCGTGGGCTGCGGAGC